TATGCCTGTGACCTCCACTGTCCAAAATGACATCATTGGGCCAGCAGCTTCTCAAGCAAAAGTGAGTATACATTCTGTTAAACTTGGAGTTTAGCTCTGAGTGGTACTTCCTGTATTCAATGCATTACCAACTCCATTTGTTTTCCTTATAAAGTAAGTGATTTTGCGGTGTATTGGGTACTCATGGCCGAGCATTAAGATATTTAAATCTGGTTCACTGGCTGAATTGTCATTTCTTCCATGTTTGACTAGTGTGGTCAAAGATGAGGGTTATACATGGTGTATTATGGCCTTTCTGTGGTTTTGGGAAGTTTTTACCAAAATTTGGACTAGGTTTGGCTTGGCCTTGACTCTCTTGTATTTTGATTTTAGCCTGGTCCAAGCCTTGGCTGACTTCCTTGTTTGGCTGTCTAGTTAGCTAGTCTGGTACGGTCTCAACAAGATTGATGAGCTTTAGGTACAATTAACTCTGAGCTGGTAAAGAATTTACAATATATGTTTCAAACAAATGGTATTATAGGAGCCTTAAATTAAGTCAAACTTAAAGAATGAATGTGAATATATTCCAAAGTTGGGGTTTGAACCTCTGGCCTTAAGCTCTGGGTGAAAAGGAGATATATTTGAAGTTAGTGGCAGCTAATTGCCATGGATAGCAAAAATAATAGCTTGCTGTGATTGGCATAATACTAACCTCTTCTCTTGCTTCCAGGCTCTTATATCCTGGGAAAATCAATATTTTGTTACTGGAAAATAAGCAAAATCTCATATTACTTGTGTTTTGCTGATTACTTATATGTCTTGACTGAATTCGTTATAATACAAGTAATTAAAGTAACCCTTTTAACTGTCCCTTTAGTAGGGGGAAGAAAAGGTTAATCAATTAAGTTTGCACGGAAAAAAAGAAACTTAAAAGGCATATGGTTCTGTTAGATTTTCCTAAAGCAGGGCTGGTTGTCAAAGTTAACCTAACAAATGTCCCAAGTTTTGTCTTCTACATCTTTTAATCAAGCTGTTTATGGAACTTCCTAGCAAGTCAATGTAATTGAATCCCCATCAGTGTTGTGATTCAGTATATGATGTTGCACGAATGCAGCATACTTAATTTATTTATGCTTCTTCTGATCCATGATGACGTCATTGCATCACATGTCTGAGTTGGGATCAGCAAATCTGAACTCTTCATGATTGAATTCGTGTTTAGAATATTGTTGGGGAATATATGATATGGTTACAGTCAAGCAATGCTCGTGAAGGAAGAGTTTATAAAGAAGCTTTGGCACAAAGATGGTCTTCATTAGTTGATCCACACCAGGTACAACTTCACAAAACTGACTTACTTGGGGAAAGAGGCGAATTGAGTGTCAAAGTGCTGGAAGATTTCAGTGCATCTGCTGCTTCTAAACTGTTTGAGCAAGAAATTCGCGAAGTGGTAAGTTATTCTGTATCTTTAAGTTGATAAACAATGTTTGTTTTCCTTAGAATAAATTCTGCCCTATGGCATTGCTACTTGATACTGTTACCTTAAAAATTTCCAATTTCAATGTCCATCGTGTGTGATTTTGGCGTTTCAATCAAACAATGCCACTTCTATGAGCAAGATTTAGTAAATTCATCTTACATGCAGAAGTTTTGGGGTTGCTGCAGTAACTTGGTTGCTACTTTTTTTTTTTTGGACCCTTGCACCATAAGGGTTCTTTGTTCATCTTTGAAATTGATTGTCCTTGAAACTAGGAGTTTCCATGCATATAACTGTTAGATTTTGACATAAATAATGGCTAATGTTTTCAAGCAATCATTTCAGTTCCTGGGTACTTTTGGTGGACTAGGAGCAGCTGGTTTGTCTGCATCACTTCTGACATCCGTACTACCAACAACACTCGAAGATCTCCTTGCTTTAGGCCTATGTTCTGCTGGCGGGTGATGCACCTTATCTGTTATGCTCATAACTGCCCTGTGTGTTGCTGACTATGACTAAATTGACACAGCTAAAGCCTTCTGGACTGACTTTTTTTTTTATCAGTATATGTTTTAGTATAGAGGTAGATATTAGCAAATATCTGATCCATTGAGGTAGCCATGGTACAGCTCTCCCAGAAAGTGAGGAATGATAATGCATGAGAGACAGACTGGAAAGGAGGACGGTGAGAACTGAAAAAATGGTCAAGATAGTGCCGATAGTGGCATAATATATTATCCTCAGGGATGTATGATAGACAACCTAAGTATGGCAGTCATATCTCTGGTTCTGCAAAAATGACTTATATATTATATGGCATGCTTATGCTTATGCTTAACTTTTGCGGAGTGCAACTCTAATCCTGATGAAAGCTTTGTTTTGTGCTAGCTTGTTAGCAATATCCAACTTTCCCGCACGCAAGCGACTGGTCGTGGATAAAGTGAAGAGGGCTGGAGATGCATTAGCTCGTGAACTTGAAGGGGCAATGCAGAAGGACCTTTTAGAGACAATTAATAATCTGGAGAAGTATGTAAGGTTTGTGGGCGAGCCATACCAAGATGTAATGCAGCATAGACTGGACGAACTCGCTGGCACTTCAGACGAGTTAATACAGATTGAGAAAAAACTTCAGACATTAAGAATTGAGATTGAAAATCTCCATGTATGATGATGATACTCGGGAACTTTGAATTATTTTTTGTTCTCGAATGGTTGGTATTTTTTTTTTCTCAGAAGTGATGCAGCTGTGTGCAAGCAGTTGCAATTGCAAATTCGCATTTTCTGAAGGACAGAACTTGATGAATTTCGTTTGTTCTTGTTAGCGGAAGAACATCATTTATGGCAGTTTTGGTGGCCCTAACCGCAGATCAAATTAGAACCACAACCATCTGTCCTGTGTTCTTCAGTCGACCCTGATTTTACAAGCAAACCAGCGGATATCGTGTTCCTTGTGTGCCACTCTGCACCATGTATGTATTACTGCGTTGGAATATTTTCAAGCGGGATTGTCGTTAAGCATCGAGTATTTGACTGACTATTGCGGGGACAAACTGGTAAGAATGTCAATGCCATGATAGTAATAATGCCTTTGATCATCACGTATGTGATTGCACTGAGGGCAGGGATTGGCAATGATGTCAATTAGTTGAGTTCAAATTCCTATAAAGGGATAGGTCTCTTGACATTAATCATGGTTTGTCGGAGGAGTGTGCTGGGGATTACGTGCGGATCAAGAATTTGAGCATCTGCATGTCCTGCATAAATTAACCACTGCCTTTATGATCTTTCTGAGACAAAAAGAGCAGTGAAGCTTGGAGCCCAAAAAAGGATGGCACTGAAATGGTCTAAAAGTAACAAGAGAGGCATAAACATCCATGCTCCCTCTTCGCCTTTCTTCCTATTCCACGCAATCCTCACACAAAACTTGAATCGTCATTTCCAGACCACTGAAGGTTGTTCATTTCCTTCCTACTTGAGATTTGCTGCGCAGCGGATTTCATGATTCCAAGCTTAGCCCCATTGCATGGATTTCGTACATGTAGATTCTTATTTTTATTTTTTACGCAGCTTCACTGCAACAATCAGCTCGGAAAAGGTCCGAGATTTGATTTGTTATATCACCTCACCTGCAGAAAACAAACGCTGAAGAACGAGTCGTTGATGACAATGTCGAAGAACACAATTGCTGCAACAACGTGCATGTTAGAAAGGTACTAAAGCTGCTGTCTGCTCGAGAGCAGAGTAGCAAGGCAACGCCAGCAATCTGCTGTTCTCTTTGAAAACAAAGGGAAATAACACACGTTTTTGCAACAAGAAGATGCAAAATCACTTGTTGTGAGCTAATTAATGCCTACTGATTCGCGGTATAGACACAAACGTTGGCATGACACGTTACTAATCCAGAAAAGAAAAGAGGTGGTGCTCTCAAATATTAATATTTATGCCCGCACGTCTCGGTCCATTCAAGGTCCATCTACCAAGCAAGCGTCTCTCTCCCAACAACTGTAATTTGGTAACTACGAAAGCACAAATTCCCGGCCCCGGCTCCGGCCCCGGCCCCGGGCCTCGGCCTCCCACCGTGACGAAAGGAATTCCATGTAATTTGTCTAGTGGCTAGTACCTAGGGGGCTTAGATGTCGAGCAACCCACCGTGAGTTCAACCTGGGACGACCCTTCAAAATGATCCCATGTTTCTTGAAGCGTTGATCTTTCTTTGAATCCATGAGTTGAAGTTTCAAGTAACACAAATTACGTTGATTTTTAATCTCAGTGCAACAATCTCAGCCCATGTCCATACAATTTTATTCCTAGAATACCCTCACAGGCCTTACAAAAAAAATTTATGTGAAAATTTATGTAAAAAAGGAGACAAAAGATGTTGTCGACGAAAACTGCAACGGCCGTTCTGATATTATCCCAAAAAGGAAAAAGCGTAAAGCCAATTTGATTCCTTTGCCCACCGGAGCCGAGTGCAAAAGATAAATCGTTATTTCCTCTTAAAAAGAAATGCCATAACTAACCGCATCATTTACCTTCATAACTAACAATTATACTAACAATGGCTTCTTTGTTCTTGCATCGCTGAAAGCAAAGCCCGAATAGTGGTGTATTTTTGGGATGTTATGAAACTGAAATTCACTACAAATACAACGTCAGTCACAAGTGGAGGTGCATAAATTTTGATGAAGGCTCAAGACTTCCAAGTGGGGGGAGTGGTCCTACAACCACAAAAGCATATTTTGATGGAGGTTCAAGTGGTCCTACGCACGACGAGAATTTCAGTTTGTTCAGTTCAATGCTCAAAATTTCTCGAGACATTCTAATCTTTTTTTTTTTTTGTCGAAACGATAGATGTCCTATAACCTAATCTAGCCTAGTCTAAGGGGAAGGGGAGGGGGTTCGATGTGAGTACAGACTCCATCGATGAAGGTCAATTAAGACCGCCATAAATTGTGACAAATTTGTGGGAAACAGAGATTGAACCCCTGACCTCGAGACATTCTAATCACTCGAAGTGAAAATAGGTATTGAGTTGAGTGCTGGGATAAAGCTTGTGAGAGTGGGAGTGGGATGGAAAGATACTCCCATGAGAATGAGAAAGAAAAAAAAAAGGCAGGACAGGAAATCTCTTTCAATAAAAATATCACAGACGAAACCTGTCGATGGACCCTTTTTTTTTTCCAAATTCTTTGCCCCCTTGTTGGCTCAGTTTTGGATGGTAAGATAATATGCTGCGGAAAGCACGTAAAGTTTAGATTTCTGATGAAATTCTCAAGCCAAACAATCAGGTCAAGCTATTCGTAACAGGTCAATGGGCGTCCCCCTGCCCCTGTAGTTGACATGCTGAGCAAGGACGAAATAGTACCAACTGAGCCAATAGCCTTCCGATAACCTATTCCGCTAGTTTCTTTTCCTTTTTGTGTGGGCAGAGTAAAAGCTTTATGTGAAGTTGGCCTCCCTTCCACTTTCGGAAGAAACCTTTGGGGAACCCCTATAAATTCACCCCCTCTCCTTTCACTTCTCTTTCACGCTCTCTGCTTTCTTTACTATCCCTTCTTCTTTTGTTCTTTTTTTTTTTTTTTCCCTTCCAAGACTTCAACTATGCACCTCCTTCTACCTTGCAATCCGAATTTCATCTCAAAATATAGAGCGTGGGTTTGTTTTGAACCTTGTTTCCGAGAGGCACTACCATAATAAGCATATGATCTACACAGCTTTAGGAATAATGCACTATCACATAGCTTAACACCACCCCTGTTCTTCCCCTGTTTTTTCTGCTGTTTTTCCCGTCACACCTTATCCTCGGACAACAGCAACAGCATGTCTTCAAACGTGTGTCAAGGGTTGCAGTCATGTACTGAGCCTGGACTCGTGGAACCACGTGTCTTAATTCAGAATTTGGCTCCACCAATACACAACTCTTCCCAGTCCAATCCATGGACTCAAAAGCCAAAAAACGCGCCTCCGCAACCACAACAGGAACAAAATGAGATGATTATTCCCAATGAGAATGACAAGAACATCCTCATCCAACGCAAACACTGCTACTGTGATTCGGTTGAGAGCAAAAGGAACAGTGACTCGCTCTGGAGCTCCATCCAGGCACTCACCAGAACCAGTCAGAATCGCATGCAAGTGAGCGAGGCAGAACAGCAAGTCTACGTCCACCCTCTCGTCAAGCGCTCCTCATCCGGATTAAGCACAAAAAGCTTGGAAATGTGCACCGAAAATTTAGGGAGCGAAACGGGAAGCAGCATTGACCAAAGCATAGATGACTTCCCTTCCCCTTCACTGGATTCCAGGCGGAGGAATGTCCAAGGCATGCACCGATCAAGGTCACGAGAATTCACCAAAAAAATGTACCCCAGTGTTGGTTTTCCTCCTCCCCTGACTTCTATAGGCGGCTCAGGCGGTGTCCATATGAGGACTCACCGCGAAGGTGGACGTCTGGTGTTGGAAGCTGTAAGTGTTTCTTCTTGCAGCTCTTACTTCAAAGCTGAACGTGCCAATGGCAGGCTTAGGCTTTCCTTGATGAGAGGTGGCTTCACGGGCTCTGACGACTTTCATGACTTGGTGGATGAGTACGGAGAAAATGCGTACAACATGCAACACAACGAAGAAGATGAACCAGAAAAGGAAACTGATAATGACGAAGAAGAGGTTGAAATTGAAGATGCTGCAGAGGATGATGCTAACGAACGTGCTGGCCAGTGGGAAGATGAATCGGATGTGAACGGTGAAAATGTGGTATATGAGGGTGTGGGGGTTGGAGAGTTGGCAAGACTTAGCAGGTGCAAAGAAGGAGGAGCGATGACTAGGAACGGCGAGATGTCAACTTGGGAGCCGTATTTGGTGACCACTTCCTGAAAGCTCGTAAAAGCCATCTTTTGGACCTCAGGGCCAGGATAATGCTACAAACTTACTACTATTGCATAATATATCACTCTTCTATTATTATTGAATAGGATGTACATATTGCTCTCCTGTGTCTGTCTCTTGTAAGTTGTAAACCCCCCGGCAGTTGTTATTGTTACTATAGGACGTACGTCTCCATCCTGCTATCCACCATTATCTCTGTTCTTGCAAGGTGCTCTTTTTTTTTGGACTAGCTCAAGTCATCTTTGCTAGTTACTGCTATAAATTTGTTCTCAAGATCAAAACTGAAGTTAGTTAAAGACCTGTAAGATGTTAGTTGAAATCCAGGGGAGTACTGGGGCCTTATTGCAATCAGTTGTTAAACTAGCACGGGTAGAGGCACGTCTCGATCATGCTAATCATTGAGGTCGTACAGAAGACTTTAAGCCTTATGATTAAACACGAGATATTTATTCTTTGAGGTGTCAAAGATCCACTGGTTTCAGTAACAGAATATAATCAAGGTTTGATAGTAGTAATAGCAGCAGCACTAGTAGGAGTAGTAGTACGGCATTCCCGACATTAATCAAATTGTACGCATAAGCTGCTTAATTAAAAGTGGCAAGCAAGTTTGGATGGTGGACGTACGGCTGGTTTACGTATCTAAGCATCACAAAATTGGGAGAGGGCCGGTGCCAGTTATGATTTGGTCCAGTTCTGTGGGATTATTGCAGTACTTATTTCTAGTATACTGTTTGATGCGAAATCACGTTACCTTATTACTATATTCAAGAAGAAGTTGGTGTATACTTCACATTTATTTGGTACAACCATACAAAGTGATTGTAGGCAAGGAAATTCACATCAGCCGGACACAAAGTGATTGTATAAAAGAAAATTCACACTTTCACATGTATTGTACGGCAACCCAACCTAACAGCCCCAGTCCCACAAAATTGCACCAGCAACGGGCGTAGGACCCTCTTAAGAGTAGAGCAACAGCCCGCTCCATTCCCATGGATGGATGGACCAACCTGACATCACTGCAGCTGAAACAAAGCTTGAGTCCATGTGCTCTCCTCGTTCAAGATTCTACATGTTCTAACAAGTTGGTTCAGAAAGCAAGCACTACTCCACGTCCGATCAGTGCACTTAATGAATTTGGCTTATGTTTGTCCCAGTTTTTGTGTAATCCAGCCAACCAACCGGGGGGTTTTCGACAAATCACAGGGCATCTTACGATTGAGATTACATGATCATATGATCGTTGTGGGTGGTCCTAAAAGAATGAAGGGAGTACTAGGTTGGAAGGTTGTTTAAGTTGTGGGAAATGGGGCAAATGGTATGGACCAGGAGAGCAAGTTGGTCTTGCATTCCTTAAAAGAGGAGGGCAATAGCCCAGCGTGGAGTTTGGCCTTCCATACACTACCGTTTCTTGTGGAAAAGAATGCGATGGACACTAGAAAGACATGCAATTAAGTACAGAACGCCAACATGCATGCACATTATTGTGTCTCTTTGCTAAATGCATCACGTGCTTCTGAAAAACCTGGGCCATCAACCATACCCTTTAGTTTCTTCTAATGTTTTTGAAAACCGGATCGGACCGGCCGGCTCGACCGCGAACCCGGCCCGATTCTATGTCATAATTGACTTTGTCAGAAAATCGGTTGAATCGTAAAAACCACCGAACCGGATTGAACCGATGGTTTCCGGTTTTCAACTTTACCCTTTTTTTTTTTTTTTTTTTTTTAAGTTTTGCAAAATGCAGCTATCAAGATTCGAACTCAAGACCTTTGTAATATAAGACCAATGTATTAACCGTTGCACAATCACATCTTATTAGTTTTTTTTGATAACTTATTTATATAAAACAAACACTCATATTTCTTTTTTTTATTTTTCTTACAAAATCTCATCCTCTCATGTCTCTTTCTTTTTAATCTTCAACTCCCTCTCTCTCTATCCTCTTTTCTTTTGTCACTCCCTTTTTAATCAAACCTCTTTATTTTTAATTTATTGATGTTTTCTTCCATCTTTTAATTTGGTTTTTGTCCATTAAATTGAAAAAAGTTAAAAAAGAATTATTTTTCTTTAACCCAAATTATTTAATGCCACAACCACTCACTTTTATCTCATTTTTTGTTTGTTATCAAGTTTACATTTCTATTTTCGATTCTCTTGACTTCCTTCGAACTCCAAACTTCCTTTTTTAAATTGCAATCTCTAAATCCTAAAACGTAAATTAAAATTTAAGTTCACAATGTCTAAATTCTCATAGACGTGAATTTTGTATAATTTCAAAATATTGTGATATTTTTGGGTTGGATTTAGATATAATTGAAATTCAGATGAATTTTATTTGTTTTAACTTATAATTTAAAAAATTTATTTTTAAAAATCCAAGTTATTAAAAAATAGTAAACTTTTCATCATATAAAGTATTAAATTAGTCCATTACATGTCTTATTTTGTGCATATATATATATATTTATATAAATTATTTTTTAAAAAATTCATTGAACCGGGGTTGAACCTCGACCCTTTCACTTCACCGGTTCAATTAACGGTCCGGTTTTTAAAACATTGGTTTCTTCACCATAATTATCTCAAAAAGAAAAAAAAAACTTGGCACAGTTCAGCTTTGGCTCTGCCCTTTTGAAAAAAAAAAAAAAAACGTACTTCATTATCAGTTGCAAACATTAATATACAATTTGTGCTGCATTCACAAGGCAATTGCATGGTTGGTTGATGAGCATATGCATCTTGTATACGTGCCACGGCACTTTCGTGCGAGCAACCTTTCCCCTAGTCTATTCACAAGGCAGCTGGAAGTGAGCCGTTACGGTCCAATGATCCCGCAGCTTAGTCCTTATTTCCACAGTTGGGATCCTCTATGCCACTATTCGGTGCCAAATCCGGTGTCAATCTCACTTATCACGTGATGATAGAAGAAATTTAAATAAATAGCACATGACAAATTAAATAAATAGGATATTTGGCATAAATATTGAAGTGGCACTGTATTATCAAGAAAAAAGTGGCCCTGAGAATCCCGTGTGTTATTTCCAGGGGTTTCACGTAAAACACTCTTTAGACGAGGTGCCTTAAATCTATCTGACTGTCAGGTTTCTTCAAAGTGGAAAGTTTATAATTATATATACCCTCAGTATGACTTACATCCCTCTCTTATAGATATGTACTTCGTGGCATTCTTGGTAGGACTAGATTTCCACAACTATCACTTGCACAGAAGTGGAATGTGAATTTAATTAGTAGGAGCTAACAATAATGATATTTAGATGTTTTGACAATATATGAATGTATATACGTATGTATGTATAGCGCCGAAGACAATATCGAGCGAGTAATAACAGCTTCTAATTGTACTTCTCCAGTGGCATCTTGTAGATAAATTAAATGCCTTGTATTGTACTCCTATATGTGGTTAACAGCAAAGCTAAAAGAGGAAAGAAGTACGTAGTAAGTAGTACTAGTAAGTTTCAAATATGGCATTAGCAAAAATGGCACGCGCAATTAATGTCCGTAATTTCTCAATTTACTCATTAACCAACATATTATTGAGGATGATGCCCTTTTCCAAATGAAATTAGCAATAGCCAAGGGTGTGATATCGTAAGTGGAGTGTGGGCGCCATCACCGTGTAAGCGGCACTAATCAATTTGGAATCCCTTTCGTCCCGTTATTCCTGCCCAATCCAACTGGGGGTTTGGTCCGGTGTTCGCCTATTCTAGTATTCTCTTCTTCTTCGAAAGGGTAAAATGCAGCCCATGTGCTTGGAACAACTAGTAAGTAGGTTACTAATGCCAACGAGAGGTTGTAAGTTCAATTCCTGCACGTGATGCCTTGAAAAGCTTTAGGATAGACCTTCACCCCGAGGGTAAGAGCTGGACTTTGCGGCCGCTCTTTGGACCAAATCCGAATTAGTCTCACCGAGGGTAGGGCGAAAGGTCAAATCTTATCTCTCATTACTTTGTAATTATTTGGCTTCTCCAAATCTATATGGGTGCATGGTGCACCAAATTTCATTCAATGACAGTTCAAACTCCGTCAATTCCTTTATTGACTCAGTTGGACCTCTCCTAAAATAAGTTAGATTAGAAATAGAGTAAATGATATCTATTGACAAAAAAAAAAGGTAAAATGCCAGGAAAAAGGGTGGTTTTTGTTGGGTCTTGGCAAGTTCTTGGAACCGTCTAATCTAAATGAAGTCCAATCCATCCTACACAAAAGGAAACCCCATTTGAGTCTTGTCCGCCCGACCATGGACATAAACAAACTCGCATTACACGAAAACAAATTGGAACAAAACATACGCTTATTATGAGTACCTTTCAATTACGAGGGTCATAGAACAGTTTTTTTTTTTTTTCTATTATCACTATCTACATCAACTTCTATTTTAAATTATGCTTGAGAATGATCCAACAGGATCACAGGAAATCAATAGAATTAAACCACCATCAGATTATAAGAATGCAAAAAGCACTCATTTAAATTTAAGAGAAATCACATGAACTTTTAATGAAATGCGAGATTTGAAATTTTAACCCTTTGCCCCACCAAAAAAGACACGTGTGAGATAATTGGTTTCATAGAATAGTTCAAGGACCCGATATTTGCCTTTGGTCTCCTCGTGAATTGTGACGCCATCCCTTGTCGACATCTCCAGGGTCAATCACCAACGCCCGCCCGTCACTTTCCTTGCGTGGATAGTGTGTATCCCTCATAACCAGCCCGATATGAATCGCGCCGCATATCATGAATACAGACTTTCTAACATTCCCTTAAACGGTCCCAATTAAATTGCAAGGAAGTGGTCTGCAGGTGGCCTCGTCCAGCGGAATCAAATCCTACTGCTACCATTTCTACAGTGGTTTTGCGATCTCGTGATGCCCACTTTGTCCTACCTGTTTAGCTTCATTTTCTTCTCCACATGTATTTGATAGGCTCTTCCGGTCCCCCCCCCCCCCTTTTTTTTTTTTTGGTTACAATATTTAGCTTCTTCCTCAAACGTTGGACATCCATCCTTTTCCCATATATTTTCTTCCGTGTCAGCATATCATCAACCTAATCCTGATTTTTTTTTTCCTTTTTGTTATTCAAGTATTAAACCATCCATCGTGTGGTATCAAGAAACGTTTTTCCTGACCATGGAGCATCGATTCGCACTCTCCAAAATCAAATTGATGATGTAGAAATTCAAACCAGA